CTGTTTCTTCGCCTTCTCCCTCCTTCTCGATCGCTTCGTCCATTCTATCCCCGTTTCTCTGTCTGTCAAACACGGAACGAGCAGAGGCTGTTTCTCTTCCTTTTCATCATTCAGGTTCCTCTTCTCTGTGTGTGTATGTGTGTTGTACATATACATATATATATATACACGATGGTGCCTCGTTTGCAGTATCTCTCTTCCTCTCTTTTCCTTTTCTCACTCTCAAAGTTACCTTACGGTGCACTTTTTTCCGTTCATCGTTTTCCTTTCTTCTTCTTTCTCGTTTCTCTTTCAGACAAAATGTACGTATGCGTTACGTATGCATTTATATATATATATATATATATATTTGTTGATATTCATATATGTATAATATACGCGGTACACATGTATTTCCCTTCCTCGCGTCCTTCTCGTTCCTTTTCATTCAATCCTTTGGTTTCTCTCTCTCTCTCTCTCCGTCTCTCTTCTGCTCATCTTTATATCGCTGCTCTCTCGTTCCGCCGTGGCAAAACTGCTAACCGGCCACCGAACACACCCAACACATTGTTCTTAGGATGCCTACGCGGGGCTTTTTCAGCTTTTTGTCGGCTTAATTCCGATCCCCGTAATAAATTAGCGGCCGATCACGGTGGCATTTGTCTCCTCGACAATTTATTTCCTGCGGCTCGAGGCCCTCCGCGACCCGTTCTTACCGTTCTTCCTTCTTTCTGGCCCCTCGGTTGCGCCTCGCTTTCGTCCTTGCCGCGAGAGAAAAGGGCGGTCTGCCCTCCTCTTTCAACTTTCCTTCTTCACATTCGAACGTCTGCACCTTTCCGCTCCATCCTCTAACTCCTTCCTAACTTTTTTCCCCCCTCCTCGTTTTATCCTCGTCGTACTTTTTTTTTTTTCTTTTCTCTTTCTTTCTCTCCTTCTCGCATCGGTTCTGTCTTCGTTCTACACCGCGAACGAATGGTCCCCATCTCGAAGGTTCAAGAGGACGAAGGTATACCCGCGGAATTTCAACGCTGGAACTTTCTAACGTGTACACGCATGTGACATACCTGCGGCCCTCCGCCTTTTTCGTTCTTTACCCGGTGACAAATTGCCCGGTGATTTCACGGCGTGTATATCGGTCAGAGAAATCGCCGCGGCCTTTTTTTGATACGTTCCTCGGTATCTCGGGGATTTTTTTTTTTTTTTTTTTTTTTTCGTCTACGATTACCTTTTTTGGTTAAACACAGAGCAGCGAACTGCTAAATGTATATATATTGACCACTTGCGCTGGCAACTGATTGCGGACCATAACGAGTGACCGAGCCGCGTCTTCTTTTTTGAACTCGTCGGTGATATCACTTGGATAGAAATTACTGAGAAGTAATAAGTTTATTATTTGTTTCGCCTGGGTTGTACTTAAATGTAATTAGAGCTGAGAAAATATTGCAATTTTGGGACAAAAAATTGCACTCGTCGAAAATCTCTGCGGTGAGTTTTGATAATCTAGTAGTTTAAAATTTTGGTATACAATCGTTTCGCGAATTAGAGTTAGATCTGTGAGAATTAGACATGTTTCGATTAACCCTTTGCGCTGGCAACTGATTCGCGGACCATAACGAGTGACCGAATCGTACACAATAATTCGTCGTTTTCATTTTCTTCTGAACTCGTCGGCATATCACTGGATAGAAATTACTCAGAAGTAACAAACTTATCATTTATCTCACCTGGGTTACATTTGAACATACTAAAAACTGAGAAAACGTTGCAACTTGGGGCAAAAAGTTTCCGACGTGCGCGACACGTCGTTCCAGCGCAAGAGATTATTAACTCTTGGAAAATCTCTGCGGTGAGTTTTGGTAATCTAGTAGTTTAAAATTTTAGTATACAATCGTTTCGCGAATTAGAATTAGGTCTGTGAGAATTAGACATGTTTCGATTAACCCTTTGCGCTGGCAACTGATTCGCGGACCATAACGAGTGACAATAATTCGTCGTTTTCATTTTCTTCTGAACTCGTCGGCATATCACTGGATAGAAATTACTCAGAAGTAACAAACTTATCATTTATCTTACCTGGTTTACATTTGAACATACTAAAAACTGAGAAAACGTTGCAACTTGGGGCAAAACGTTCCCGACGTCGTTCCGCAAGTTAGCGCAAGAGTTTGATACTTGTCAACTTGAAGGAACTACATCGGTCACAAATATCATAATACACATGGAGCAATATTTCCACTTACTGTTACGTTACAGACTCTAGAATAATCACTCAACGCTCTACCTCCTATACAGTTAATCATAATTAATCATCCAATTTGCATCGCCGACGATGCACGTGCCGTCAGCAAACAGCGGCGATGTATACTCCCTCGACGGTGTATCGCGTTTCCAATTACAACAATTCCGCAGGGTGCAAGTCTGACCCATTCGTCAGGTGCTATCGCGAATCACGGGAAAAACCAGGTTAAATCGCCGCGTGTTTGACCCGGAGGGGAGAAAACGGGATGGGCCAGACAGACAGAGGAGGAAAGAAAGAGAGAGAAACGTTAGGGAGACACACGGCGAAACGGAGCCCGGCGCTCGAGACTCCGTTTACTACGCGATCCCCGGGTCATCGGGGATCTCTGAATAATGAAATTGTTCCCAGTGCTCGCGGCACGTCCGTGTTGCCGGCTCGTTTACGCGAACAGGAACGGCAACGATGATGACAGAGAGGCCGGATATAAACATTTATTATTCACGGTGCGGCAACGACTAACGAGGTCGTGTGTAATACCAACCGCTCCTCGACCATCTCTCTCTTTCTCTCTTTCTTTCTTTCTTTCTTTCTTTCTCTGTACGTACGCGTATCGTACAGTATGTGTGACGTTAATAATTAAACGTCGCATTATCACTGCATGCACACGTACCGAGCGCCGCGTGTACGGCACGTACTTATTACACAATAATGCGCCGCTGGTTGACGAGCGACAGCAGCAGCGTGCACACCACGATGCGTGTGCCACCGCGGGCGTGGGCCGCACGCTCCTCCGCATAGGGAGTTTATCGTTGCTGGATTTATGGTCGTGCAACGCGATTCAACGCCTACACCGCCCCAGGTGCCTTTCGCGCCTGGATTTTCCACGTAGACGTGCGAAATCGTGTTTCACTCGTTCGCCTGTTCGTTCTTCTAACGAAAAACTGGACGATCGCGTTTGTCGACGACCGTCTTGCTCTTTGATTCTGGAGATGACTCAAGGTTAAGCCAGACTAAAGCTCAACAATGACATGATGATGGTATCCGGTAATAACAAATACTAATTGCCAATTGAGAAATTTTCACTTTTCAACAAGACTGTAGACACACACACACACACATACATACACGATCGAGACAAGGTAGAAAAACATCAACACGTAAAAATCACAGTGGAGAGAAAATTTCGGATTTTCCGAGTTGATGAAAGTTTTTATCGATAGCCGATGTGATCCAATTACAAGCACCGTTCTGTTAATACAGATCAACGTAACGACGGCGCCGGGGGCGCGGGAATTAACAGATCGCCGGTTGCGTGTCCGCCGCAGAGGACAGGCGTAATTTCTGTTACACAATACGCGGCCCGTTCTGCATACACAGGCTCGCGCGTTATATACATCCATAACGGATGATGCAAACAAGAGTATATTAACAGCAGCGTCCCCTTAAAGCCATTCCATTAAAATCGATCGATCATTTATTTTCGCGTTCTTCCAATAAATTCTTGGTCTTCGAAACGGAACGAGCCACGTGCGGCCATTGGCGGGAAAACGCCCCTGATCGAGCCTTTTTCCTTCCTTCGCGGTATAATTCCTAATAAAAGATAGAGGGAAAAGGGGAAAAGAGGTATGCCGACTCGTGTGCAGAGAGGGTTGTAACACGCTCTGTCGCGTCTCTATCTGTCCGCGACAACACGTGACCTCGAGGCCCGAGTTCCGCCAGGCTTTTTAGGCACGCTTCGCCAAAGGGACACACGCACGCACGCACGCACGCACGCATGCATGCATGCACCCTTCTAATGTGTGGCAGGTGCGCACGTGACGCGACCGGGCGTCAGCCCGCCTCTGGAACGTTTAATTTATTGTTAATTGCGTGACGCGATGGCACGCGCAGCTGCCGCGCTTTTTCGCGCCGAAACCGGGATAACACTCGCCTCCTTGTGTGTATCGTCCATTCCACTTGGCTGGATATCGAATCTTTCGTAGCATCGTGCAGAATGATTTTATGTATTACTGTGCAAACGGTCATAAGCGTTAGCCTGATCATCAACCTCTTGCGCACGTCGAGAATTCTTTGTCCCAAAATCGCGACATTTTCTCTCAGTGTCGAGTATATTTAAATGTAACGCGGGCGAAAGAAATGATAAATTATATAATGAATGAACGAACGAATGAATCTTTTTATTTCAGTCTTTCGGTCTAGAAATAGACCTCAGCGCCTTACATTATTCTTTACATTTTGTTTTCCGTTTTAATCCGTTACATCTAGTATTGCATGCTTTAACCTATCCTTATACTATACGTAGACTAATTAGACTGATAAATAAATTATATAATAAATAAGAAATAATAAATTATTAAGCTTTATTACTTGTCAAGAATTTCTGTCCAGTGACGTCCAGTCACCGGCACGAGTTCAAAAGAAAAAGAAAGCGACGAATTATCGTATACGGTTCGGTCACTCGTTATGGTCCGCGAACCCAGTTGCCAGCGCAACGGGTTGAAATTGTAATAATCGCGTGGCACGTTAACGAGAAACATATAGCTCTTAACTTCATCAACACGGCGTAGTATAGATTTTCCTTTTAACAAAAAAAAAAAAAAAAAAAAAAACGGTCCATCAACATTAGCAATCGTAATTAAAATCGTCGCTCTGTGTTCCTGCCCAAATCGTTCATTAGCAGCGTGGCGCAACTAACTGTACAAGTCGATAGATAGGTTAAGATAAGTAATAGGATTAAGTCTGACGTCTCATCGAAGTTCACCAACCTCCTCTCTGTTCCCAGGGCACATTCTCGCTGATAGTGGAGGCTTATCACGACGCAGACAACACGACACACCACTCAGCCGGTAAGTAACCTTTTTTCAACCCCCCTCTCTCTATCTCTCTTTCTCTATCTCGAGCAAGTCTCTCCTATCGAGCCTTCCCGAAGACTGTATCTGGTCTCTGTAGCGTTATAGCTTCCGCGTGTGCGCCTTGTATCGGGCGGCACGAGCGTGCTCGCACGCGCTTCGAATGAAAAAAGAAAGAAAGGAAAAAGAAACGAAGGAGAACGAAGGATGAAGAAGAAGAAGAAGAAGAAGAAGAAGAAGAGGAAAAAAAGGAGGAAATGAAAGGAGAGAGACGAAGGAGGATGATATTTTAAAATTAGTCCTCTCTCTTTCTCTCTCGCTGTATGGCTTTAAATACAGGGAAGATTTTCGAAGGTTTGGGGGCATGTGCAATCCAGCTGGGTCGTGGCCCTCGATATACCATGCATCGAGTTCGAACCAGCCGAGAACCCACTTCCGGTCTCTGTGCACGACACTCACCAGAGACGTAACCTCCTCAGACTTCCTTCTTTTACACGGCCACCGAAACCTCTTTTCATCTTCTTTCCACCCTCTCGACGGTTTCGATACGCTAAACCCTCCGTAGAGACAGGTCTCTTCCTGTGCGCGGTCGTATCCGCGGACAAATATTGTTACTTTTTTTTTTCTTTTTTTTTTTCTGGATGCTGCCCGGTTCCAGCTCCCCGGTTAACCGATTCCCCTTTTTATCTGTTTTTTTCTTTTTTTTTTTTTTTTTCTTCGGTTTTTGGTCTCGCAGACTTGATGGATGAGAAACAGTGTAGTACCCGATGGGGAAGATATGGTTCTGCACGGGTAGTAATTTATGTAGTAATTTATAACTCACGCGCAGACTTGGAAATGTTTTCCCGCATTAAACGTCCTCGTTCATTGCTACATTTTCAATTTAGATGCTTTAAATACGCTTTCTTCATATCTCATAGACGCATTGTTAAAGGTCTTCGTGTCTCAACGAAAGGATAAGGGAATTCCTTTTCGTAAACTTACGAGATTCGTTCGACAATAGAATGGTGACTGCGTGGAAAATGATAACGAGGGAACATTAGCAAAAAGATACGGAGTTGATTTCACCGGTAACTTCAACATTCGTTCTTTCTCCAATTTTCATCCTTCTTTCACCGCAAATCGCGAACCACGGTTGGCAACATTGATAGTCCCAGCTGTGTGTATTCCGGTCTTTTCCCCCTTCGTGCAACTGTGTCTGTTCTCGACCCGTTTTCAGTCGTGTTTCCTTGCTCATTACCGCGACGCGTCCACGTGCACAAAGTGGTCGGCGGCTCTCTGTTGTGTCATAGCGTACGGAGAACAGGCAGAACGAGGGAAAGAGAAGCGGCCGGAGGCGCTAGTGTTTCCTTCCTGTGTAACCGTAGCACCTAGCTTCCAGCAACGCGCCACGGTAATACGAAACTCTCTGTGTGGACGAGGGATACGGATGCATCCTACGTGTACCCGGGGCTACTCGTCTATGCTAGCCGATATTTTGCCGTGAAACCGCGGTAATTCTCTAGACCCTTTGGCGTTTCGTTAAAATCTTGTTTTTTTTTTCTTCTTCTTTTTTACGACACATCGTCACGCAACGAATTAGAACACGAATTAAGTTTTGAGAATAAATATATATTATATGTCAAATGTAAAGTATAAAATTTGGGATTCTGTTGAATGTAGTGTGTTAAATTTTGTATCTCCAGATACTGTGAAGCATAGTATATAGAATCTTCAAACTTGGCTAAATAATCAAAATAATCTTTTTTTTTTTTGTTTCTTTCTTTACAACAAATTAGAACACGAATTAAGTTTTGAGAATAAATATATTTTGCCAAATGTAAAATACAAAATTTGGGATTCTGTTGAATGTAGTGTGTTAAATTTAGTATCTCTAGATACTGTGAAACATAGTACGTATCTTCATACAGGATATCAAATTTATAACTTGGCTAAATAATCAAAATCTTTTTTTTCCTTTACAACGAACTAGAACACGACTTAAATTTTGAGAATAAATATATATTGCCAAACGTAAAGTATAAAATTTGGGATTCTGTTGAATGTAGAATGTTAAATTTAGTACGTCTACATATTGTGTAACATAGTACGTATCTTCATACAGGATATCAAATTTATAACTTGGCTAAATAATCAAAATCTTTTTTTTTCTTTACAACGAACTAGAACACGACTTAAATTTTGAGAATAAATATATATTGCCAAACGTAAAGTATAAAATTTGGGATTCTGTTGAATGTAGAATGTTAAATTTAGTACGTCTACATATTGTGTAACATAGTACGTATCTTCATACAGGATATCAAATTTATAACTTGGCTAAATAATCAAAATCTTTTTTTTTTCTTTACAACGAATTAAAACACGAATTAAGTTTTGAGAATAAATATATATTGCCAAACGTAAAGTATAAAATTTAGGATTCTGTTCAATGTAGAGTATTAAATTTTGTACCTCTAGATACTGTGAAACATAGTATCTAGAGTCTTCATTCAGGATATCAAATTTGGACCTTGGCTAAATAATCAAAATCTTTTTTTTTTTTTTTCTTTACAACAAATTAGAACACGAATTAAATTTTGAGAATAAATATATATTGCCAAACGTAAAGTATAAAATTTAGGATTCTGTTGAATGTAGAATGTTAAATCTAGTACCTCTAGATACTGTTTCACAGTATCTAGAGTCTTCATACAAGATATCAAATTTGGAACTTGGCTAAATAATCAAAATCTTGGGAAATATAGATCGTCGTATCCACAGCTCTCCTGTATAAATCTCAGTGTGATACAACTGTTGAGCGAAACGAAAGTGCAGTGCGATTCCTCGATTCTGGTGATAACATAATTTCCGTCAATTTCCGCGGATGATCGTCGCGGATCACGCTTGATCACGATAATCGTCGCACGGTTGTCGAGACACGACATTCTCTCATTAAAGCTCGTGCTACGGGAAAACGCGCATGCAAATAGCTCGGAGACGACGGGGGCTGTTTATTGCTTCCGCATCCGGGGAAAGCTCAGTCAGATTGCCGAGATAAAAGCGAATTAAGCGGTCGAACGTGAGCCCCCGAAATAACGAAATTCAATTACCATCCACGGCGCGATGGATGGAAGCGTTAGGCAAAGCAGTGTGCTTCGAGTACACGCACGTATAACACATGCGCATGAGAGCTACGCATGAGAGCGTTGCACGGCCACGTATAGCTTCCGGTCTCCGGTTCATTCTAATTGCCAGCCAGACACACAGGACCTCGGGAAAGAAATTAACCGGTCTCGCTCTTCTTACTACGGCTTGACGATGCCTCCTTGGTCTTTGACGCAGCAATATTTAAAGAATTTAGGATATTCCCTCAGTTGAATGAAGAATCGTAGTTTCACGAGATGTAACGTTAGACTGGCTTGCATCGAGATCTCTTATATTCTACTGTCTGTTCTGATAATTTTTAAATAGTTCGGCATCTTGACGATACTTCTGTCAACACTTTCAATTAACTTTTCTTGTGAAATCTCGTCTCCCTTTAACACCTTGCGCTGGCAACTGGTCCGCGGACCATAACGAGTGACCGAACCGTACACAACAATTTGTTTCTTTCTTTTGATGTGATATCACGTCGGATAGAAATTATTAAGAAGTAATAAACTTATCATTTGTGACATGGCGCGTCATTCCAACGCGAGAGGTTCACGTAATCTTCAATCTTAATATTTTAATTAGATTCCTCCTCTGTTATTCTGAAAAAAAAAAGAAGGAATAACCGGTAACACTTTTTAATACCCTCTCCACTTTTGATAAATATTTTTACTCAAGCTTATAGTCTTAGAAGAAGAAATTGTACAAAGCACTTGAAGCAACTCGCTTCCTCGACTTTTTCAATTAAATTTCTTCCGGTTCTCCGCGAAGCTTCCTAGTCCCACGGGGGTAGGCACACCGCAGCCGCGCGACTTCAGAAAGAAAAAAAAACTCTCTTCTGATCCCCCGTCGAAGCGGCTAATTACGAAGTGAATCGAGCTTGGCTTCCTTTGTTTCAAGCTCGCCCGTGAACGGAATTCCTACCGTTATCCCACAGATGCCCGGCGCATCCGCGGCTGAAAAGAGACAAACGAACGGACAGAGTCAAGAAAGATAGAGCTTCTTCCATTTAACCTCTTGTACTGAAACGATCGAGAATATTGCAATATCTTCTAAGTTTTAAGTATATCGAAACATAACCCAAGCAAAAAAAGAAAAATAATAAATTTATTACTTATTAGTAATTTCTATCTAGTGATACATCGATGAAGTCTCAAAAAAGTTATTGTATACGGTTCGGTCACTCGTTATGGTCCGCAATCAAATGGTTAACCTCTTACGCTGGAATAACGTGTCACGCACGTCGAGAATATTTCGACCAAAATTGCAATATTTTCTCAGTTTTAAGTATATCGAAGTATAACCCAGGCAAAACAAATAATAAATCTATTACTTCTTGGTAATAATAAATCTATTACTTCTAATTTCTATCCAGTGATATACCGATAAAGTCAAAAAAGAAGACGAGTTATTATATATGGGTTTGGTCACTCGTTGTGGTCCGCAATCAAGTGGTTAACCTCTTACGCTGGAATAACGTGTCACGCACGTCGACAATATTTCGCCCAAAATTGCAATATTTTCTCAATTTTAAGTATATCGAAATATAACCCAGGCAAAAGAAAAAAAAAAGAAAAATAAATTTACTGCTTGTTAGTAATTTCTATCCAGTGATATACCGATAAAGTCGAAAAAGAAGACGAGTTATATATGGGTATTTGGTCACTCGTTATGGTCCGCAATCAAGTGGTTAACCTCTTACGCTGGAATAACGTGTCACGCACGTCGACAATATTTCGCCCAAAATTGCAATATTTTCTCAATTTTAAGTATATCGAAATATAACCCAGGCAAAAGAAAAAAAAAAGAAAAATAAATTTACTGCTTGTTAGTAATTTCTATCCAGTGATATACCGATAAAGTCG